TCGATAACCGCAATATATCAATTTCGGCTCTGGAACTCATCCTTTCAAACCGACTACCCAACACCAGTGTCAGTGCGGCTCGGAAACTTGTCCTTTCCGACCGAACATAGCCTATTGGATTGTAATTACTTAAATAAAGAGAAGCGACGGCGCGGCGTGGAAACTAGACCGCCTGCCCAGCACGATATCCAGCGATCCTGCTGCAACAACTGCATTAAATATATCCCCCTATTATGAATCCAAACGATACACGATAAACGCTTGCATTCCGTTGTGCCGTATTACGTATTAAATTCCAGCGTACGAAATTCGATAGATACCGTTTATCGTATATCGTTAAATTTTGGTATTACCATACGATAGCTATCATATCAGTTGTTCAATTTCTTACGCTTGCAAGCGGTTGTCCATTTTTACACGATACGATACAATTTAACAAAATTAAAGGGATATAAGTATTAAAATGAATAACAAGAAATTATGGAAACGATTTGAACAAAATACTGCAATTTGTCGGGGCAAAAATTGCGAGAAAAAAACAAAGTTGAGCGTGTTGCTTCTCCAAGGGGTACGGTTTAGTTATTTGTACAATGATTTTGGGTTGTTGTGTCCAAAGGCGTGACCCAAATCTAAGAATTTAAACATACACGCAGTCTTGCCAGGTTTTCGGAATGAGAAAACGTCCCTCTTGGTCTGAAAAACGTCATTTCCTACCCAAAAACGTATTTTCCATGTATGCACACAGAATTGTTCTTATTCAACTTTCATTGTATACAAAGGTACAATATGTACGTAAGGTATATTATTTTTTCATAAAAGCCTAGCTCATTATGTATCAACATTTCAAACTTTGTGCAAAAATTATAAGAAATCTGCAAAGTTTCACCTAGATTTTGAAGATTTTATTCAGATTTTTTATAGCCCATTAAATTCCAGGGCATTAATGTACAAGTTTTAAGTTGCTGAAGAATCGCGTTGATTTTTACTATTTTTTTTTTCTTGTAGACACTTGGTTAGGTGGTCGGTTGTCGAAAATGCGAAATTACGTTCTGCTAAGCAGGAACATAGTGCTTTTGCGAGCGTGTGTGTTGCAATAGATCAGCTCTTCCTGATTTGGCTTTTAATATGCAATTGCAAACATTGTAATAAGCCTTGTAACCTCAAGTGTTTACACAACCAGCCTTTGAACGCAGGATCCTTAGTCCAAGAATCAGAACAAAAATGCGCGTACGCTTGGTTTGCATCATATTTAAGTCATATGTGTCCAAAGAATATATCGTCGTTTAAAGTACAAAACCGCGTATCGTCATTCTGCAAAACCGCGTAACTGAATGTCAGGCTGCCAAAAATTGGATTTGCTCACACAAGCTCTTGGCTCAATCCTTACCCATTCGTCCTGAAATATGCTATCCAGATATGCGATTTCTTTATAAAAAAGAGAATCATTTTGAAATACGAGTGTTTTTACTCTCCAAAAAATAATTTATGCAACCTCACATACGTGGTTTTGCATTTTGCTGATACGCGGTTTTGCATTTTGTTGATACGCGGTTTTGCACTTTAAACGACGATATATCTTTTATTTATTAAGAAAATAATTCAAAATCAGTTCTACTTACAAGATTTAGTAACAAATTTGCCGAAAGTGTGAGCGTAAGTACTTACTCTACAAGCAATTAGTACGCTATACATTGAATATATTGTGCATAGAGAAAAATTACTGGGAAGTTAAAAAACGTAATTTTTTACACAAAAAACGTCCAAACGTCAACAGGATACAAAAACGTCTAAATAACGTTAAAAACGTCAACCTGGAAACGCTGCATACACGTTTAGTCAAAGGATTGAGCTTTAATTCAAAACAAAGATTTCAAATTTCCAAGCACTGGTTTATTGACAAATTCGGTTTGAAAGATGCACATTTTTATAAACACAGTAGAAACCTTAGGTTGGAGTAAACCAATAACGCCTCGTTGCAACACTCTGTTGGTATGATCCCTGAGCAAGAAATGTAAGAGTTGTGAAAACCTTTAATATATTCGGTATGGATGGCGTTTTTTACGTGGGCGCAACTCGTTCTCTATTTCTGTTAGAACATATGTATCAGCTTCTTTCGAAAGTCGAAAGTTTCTCTGAAATCTAAAGAATTGTTTTTAATTAGGGAAGTGCCGGGTATCCGGTAGATATCCGAAATCCGGCCTATCCGGCCGGATACTGGCTAATATCTGGTCGGATTCCGGATATTGATTATAGAAGATTCAATTTAGAAATTTAACCCAGATTTTGTAAAAGTGTCTAATTATTAATCAAAGTTAACAATCTTCTTGTCTGGATATAAGAGGCAGCTGCAAATATTTCTCCATTTCTAGTTCATAAATCGCAGCCTTTTTTCTTGTACGTTCGCTGCCTTGTCTACCAATCGTTTGGCTATCCATATCACTAGAAACACTAGAATCAGCATCAGAGCCATTGCCAAATATCCTCGTGAGCTCGACCTTCGATGGAAGCTTTCACTATAGTTCGGCATTTTTCATATGATTCAATTGGTTTCTCCATGCTAACTGATTTATAATTTCGAATTAGTTCATCAACAACCCAGTTTTTAGCTTTATTGACGTCAGAAAAAAAACAAGTTTTGAAACGTGGGTCGCAAAATGTTGCAATAGTGATGCATTGTCGTTGTTGAATGTTTAGTCCTATAATCAAGTAAATTTTTTTATTAATAGTTTTTTACGAGATAGTTGTTTATCTTTTGTCTTTGACGTTTCTCCTCTATTTCTCAAGAGTAATCGATAATCAAGTTTGCTGAAGGAAAAGTTATCGTTTTAGTACAAGATTAATAGGGACCTTACACGGTTTGGTCAAACTGCGTGCATGGGTTTAGTGAAATTTTGTATGTACTATATGTGTGACGTGTATTGAGTTTCTAACAGCTCAACCTAATATTACCGGCGTGAGTTTTTCTACGTACGCACGCAAGTTTTTTACATTTGATTAACCGAAATCAATTTACGTGCGTAATTTCTCAGAGTTGCATTTCTGTCAAATATACAGTAGTTGAGCAAAATTTGGTCATAAATGCAGAATAGCTCCGATTCTCAAATTAATAAAAAACATATGGGGATCGATAGAGATAATTGCGGTCAGTATAACGGTATATTTATTTTTTTGCGGGAACAACAATTACAAAAGTTATTAAGGGTCAAAGTTCAAATTAAACAATTTTTTACACAATAATTTAAATAAAAACACATAATTAAACAAGGAAAAAGTATACGACTTAGTATTAGTATTAACAAATGAATACAAATCTTCCTTAAGCTTCTCTTTAACTTCATCCAAAACGATAAACTGAAATTTGATGGGTTTTTTGAAGCGTGTAAATCAAACCATCTAATTACACAGAAGACAGTTTGATCAAACAATGTGACCATGTAAGGTCCATATAAGGCATCAACACACATGTGCGATTCTGACGGTGCGAATCTGTTCCAAAAAAAATACAACAATGCCGCAACTATTTATTGGAACATTCACAGCTCTTCATTTCATCGTGCCGAAATTGCAGACCTACGCGTGCGGAAACGAAAAAGGTTAATAGGCGGGTTCTGTATAATTTAAACAACAATTAACGTAAGAAAACAAAACATTTTGATTGTTCAAAAGCAAAGAATTTCATGAAGATTGTTTTTTGTTTGTTTATAAGATGCCATTTTTCACTGCGATAGCATCGCACAGATCTGTGCGTAATTGTGTTTCCGAAGTGGTAAATTCTGTAGCATCAGAAGAGGTGCGGAGGTCGAGGTGAACTCGAGCCGGCAAAAAAACAATATGGTGAAATCTATTAAGGGCAGCAGTCCACCGGATATCCGAATCCGGCTGTTATTTTTTACAGGATATCCGGAATCCGGTTATCCGGCAAAATCTATATCCGGCACATCCCTATTTTTAATAATTAACAAATAAAACTCATTCCTGTTATTTACATTATCGAGTTCTTCTCCAGAGGATTGGAAGCATCTCTCAATTGCCTTCTTACTGTGTCCTCGAGTTTCATCAATTTGAATTTGTATAAAATGCATTTGGGGTTGATGGAAATATGTTTTATCTTAATTTTGTATGGCTTATGGAAATTTTCGCGACTTCTAAGTTCAAAATGTTCGCTTTGAAAATATATTATCTAGACAAGAACTGTCATTCACAATAGTACATCTATCGGGCGTGTGGAAACCATAATACGAAATCTCATTTTATTCCACACGCTTGCAAGCGTTTATCGTCTATCCCCAGCAAACATTTGGAGTCATAAATGAGTCTTTAAGGAGTCCCATTTCGGAGCCTTTGTGCTCATAATGAGCTCATTTAAGAGTCCGAAATGACGGTGTTTCCCTTCCTGCGAAGGTCGATCTATATGAGCTTAAATTCATACATCAAATGAGCCTCAATATGAGTCATATTGGACTCTTATTGGCCTCATATACGGCTCATTTTGAACTCTTTTTGAATCCCTTAAATGACTCTTATTGGCCTCATAAATGCCTACTTTCGGAGTCTCATTGTATGCTGTTCTGTGACTCTTACTGGCTTTATTCTTCAACTCTCTTAATTAACTTACTTTAGAGCCATCTTAGCAAGGAAATTATTTCAAATACTGTTAAATTTTGTTTATTTTTCCTTCCTAATTATTTTTCATATCTGTATAAACAAGTTTAGATATACTTTTGCGGCAGTAGCGGAGTAAAATAAAACGACGCGTGCTTAATGTTTGCTGGTTCATTTATTACTGAACTCATTGACACCTTAACTAAAATGACAAAGCTGAGAGAGTGGATGTGTATTGCGAATATACGTGAGAGGCGCGAACATACCGGCCTCCTTGGACTATTCATCCTTAAATGAGTAGTTCAATAATTTGTACATTATTAAATTACAAAATTGTGAAAAAGAAAAAAAGAAAATAAAGTGTACAACTTATGTGATGCATAAAATATGAGTATATACTACTGAGATTTTTCATCATCTGATAAAATAGGTACAAGCTTTACGATGGGCCTAGTCAACAGGCCTTCGGCAGTTTTGATATCTACTACTCTTGTATAACCATCTTGTCCAGGATGGCATTTGACGACACGAGCTAGCTTCCAATTCGCAGGAGGAATACGTTCGTCCCTCACCACGACCAAGTCCCCTTCTCGTATGTTTTTCTTCGGACGCACCCATTTAGCTCTAGTTTGCAGTGTTGAAAGGTATTCTAGCTGCCAGCGACGCCAAAAATGGTTACGTACGGCGGATATAAGCTGCCATCGTTGATTTATATTACCCTTAAAATCGAGCATTGTAGGTTCGGGTAATGCTTTGAGGGGCTCGCCAATCAAAAAGTGACCAGGAGTCAATGTTTCCAGGTCAGACGAAGAACTCGAGAGCGGGCACAAAGGGCGTGAGTTGACGCAAGCCTCTACTTCGGTGATCAGGGTATAAAACTCTTCGTACGTCAACAAGGTCGCTTTGAGAGCTCGCCGAAGGTGGAACTTTACACGCTTAACAGCAGACTCCCAAAAACCGCCCATATGAGGACCGCTTGGGGGATTAAACTGCCAATCTATGCTAGAGTTCGCAAAAAAATGCTGGAGGTTCGGATCGTTCATCGCCTGTTGAAATACTGTCCGTAGATCTTTCTCAGCACCCACAAAATTAGTTCCGTTGTCAGATACGTATGTACGGCAATAACCTCGACGTGAGGCAAATCTTTTAATAACACTGATGAAGGTCTCTGAGGATAAGTTACTCGCTAATTCCAGATGCATAGCGCCAGTCGCCATGCAAATAAAAACAGCTATATAGCCCTTGGTAGACTTTGACCCGCGTCCTTTGGAGAATTTTACGCTAAATGGGCCAGCCATATCTACGCCGGTGACAGAGAATGGTCGGCCTGCGTAGTTAACCCTAAAGCTTGGTAGGTCGGCCATCATCTGTTGCTGTCGAATAGCACCTTGACGTCGACACGTAGTACAATTATGAAAGATTTTTCGAACCAATCCTCGTGCGCCCATTACCCAAAACCGACGTTGTAGTACGGTCTGCATAAGTTGTGGTCCACCGTGCAAGAGGCTTTTGTGAAGGTCATTAATTATCATGATAACGATGCTGGACCTTGACGGTAAGACGATAGGAAACTTGATGTCTGGCGATACAGCGGAGCGACGAATCGTACCACCCGCCCTTAATATGTTGTTGTCGTCGAGGAATACGTTGAGCCGAATTAGTGAGCTGCGAAGCGAGATAGGTTTAGAGTGTTGGCAACACCAGATTTCTTCGTTGAATGCTTCCCTTTGCACCTGACGTATCCAGTATTCTTCGGCGGCACGTAACTCTGCGTATGTTAACGGACCTCCTTGCCTTTGTTTTTCTCGCAAATTGCGTATATATCGCAACCAATAAGCTGTAATGCGTTTCAAACGTAAAAACGACGAAAACCTAGCGAGCATATCTCGCGCTATGAAGCTAGCAGCGCCAATAGAAGCGGTGTGAGTCAGGGTTCGCTTTGGACGCAGTTCCAACTCTGTCGGTGGTATTGATGGTGAGTTAGGCCAGTATTTATCATCCTGCGACAACCAGGGAGGCCCATTCCACCATAATTTATGCTGGATAAATTGCGCAGGTTGCATACCTCTTGATGCGCAATCAGCTGGATTATCGGTTGTACACACATGGGACCAATCTTCCGATGCTATATTCGATTGTGCTGTTGCGACTCGGTTCGCTACAAATACAGACCAGCGGCTGGGGTGGCTTTGTAACCAGGCCAATGCGTTCATAGAATCCGTCCATCCATATATCTTGGATACCAGTCCAGCTAACGATTGTTGAACGTGATGTGCGAGTTTTGAGACCAGAACGGCGGCGCACAACTCGAGCTTAGCTATGGAAATAGAACGGAGAGGCGAGACCTTTGTTTTTGCACTTACCATAGCTACAGTTATTGAGCCGTCAGCATGTCGTGTCCGAGCGTATACTACACCAGCGTAAGCCTGCTCTGAAGCGTCTGCGAAGCAGTGCAGATCTGTCTTTGAACCTTCCATTCCGGTTCCAAGCCATCTTTGGATTTTGAGTCCAGAAAGTAATTTTAAATTCTCGCGATGATTCAGCCAGCAAGCGGCGATGTCTTCTGGTACTGCATCATCCCAGTCTAAGCCAAGTTGCCAGAGTCGTTGGAATAACGTTTTGGGGACCAAGGTGATTGGAGCCAGCTTCCCTGTAGGATCGAATAATCGACAGGAATCTGACAAAAGCGATCTTTTGGTGAGATTTTTCGGTGGGGACCCCAATTTGATGTCGAAGTATAAGTAGTCATCCGTGGAATTCCACATTAGTCCTAAAGCGCGTACTGTATCGTCGTCAGCAAGCAAATGAGATATATTGTGCTCTCTTGCATCGAGAGGAATATTGCGGATGACGAATGGCGAGTTTGATGCCCACTTCCGCAGTTCAAAGCAACCATTTCCAAGTATTCGGGATATTTCTTTGCGCAGACTATTGAGGCTTGTTTCGGATGAGCTACCGGTTAACAAGTCGTCCATATAAAAATCTCGGAGGATGACGGAAGATGCGAGGGGGTAGCATGTAGCGGCTTCTTTGGCTGTCTGCTGCAGCGCTTTGATTGCGAGATGAGAGCTAGAGGCAATACCATAAGTAACCCTTAATATACGAAAATCTTGTAAGGGCTCATGTTTGCTTCTGCGCCATATGACTCGTTGATAATCGACGTGTTCTTCAGCGACCATTACCTGACGATACATACCGCTGATGTCAGCGGTTAAGGCGTACTTGTGAATTTGAAAGCGGTTTAAAATAGAAACTAAGTCTTCCTGAAGTTGCGGCCATCATCAAATTATCATTAAGCGACAGGCCGTTTGTAGTTTTTTGCGAAGCGTTGAAAACGATACGCGTTTTCGTTGTGCAGCTCGACTCTTTGATAACGCTGTGATGTGGCATATAGTAATTTGATGAAGGCACGTTACTTACCGGCTCCATATGACCCTGATCCAACATATCTTGCAAGAATGCATGATATTGTTCTCGATGCTCGTTATTTAGCTCAAGCCTTCTTTCCATTCTTAACCAGCATTGTACCGCTATAGCCCGTGAGTCACCTAATTTAATATTTTCCCTAAATGGCAAATGCACGATAAAGCGCCCTTGCGTGTTTCGTCGGTGAGTTGTTTCGAATAGATTTTCACATCTTGTCTCTTCTGTCGTAAAGTAACGAGTCTCCGGTAATTCATCAAGTTTCCACGCCTTTATCACTGCCTTTGTTAAGTCGCTATCTGAATATAAGCAAGGAGATGTATTGTTCGATTTATCTAAGGTAGTTAGCTTGCCGAACAGCACCCAGCCAAAAACTGTCTTCTGCGCGATCGGAGTATTAGGCGGGCCCTTTATAACCTCTGTTTCCAATAGCGAATACATTTCATCAGACCCTATAATTAAGTCTATGCGAGCTGGCAGGTAATACTGCGGATCAGCTAATTTTAAGCCTTCAATGTGCGGCCATTTGGAAGAGTGTATTTTCGCCGCGGGCAAAGATTCTGTAAGCTTTGTCAACACGAGAGCAGATAGAGGGAATGTTTCGGTGCCCTCCATTGGCGTCAACAACAATGATGTTTCGCCCTTTACCTTACCCTTTGAGCATCCGATTCCGGACACAATGACTTCACTTCGCCCTATAGCTAATTGTAATCTTTGAACACATGCTTCAGTTATAAATGAAGAGTGTGAGCCTCAATCAAAAAGCGCGCGCAAAACATGCTGCTTTCCGTTGATGTCACATGCTCGTAATTGGGCAGTAGCGAGAAGAACGGCTTGCCCAAAGGTCGCGTCAGAATGTGTGTCCGAAGCGGTTGCTTCTGGTGCGCTTAGTGCCGCAGTGGCAGAGTACGACGAATGCCTTGCAAGTAAGGTGATGTTTGCATTGTCACTATTTTTGGATGATTGTGAATTCGCAGTATCCATCGAAGTAGTGCCGGTTTCGGAATAATGAAGTAGCGTATGGTGGCGATGTCTGCATATTCTGCACGTTGATGCGCTTCGGCACTTGTCTCTTTTATGCATCTCGCTCAAACAGTTTGTACAAGCGTTTTTATTTCGGATTACGTCCTTTCGCGTGGTTACCGGGATTTCACGAAATTGAGGGCATTGATAAATTCTATGCTCACCAGAACAATACAAACACCGTTTGGAATCCGTCTGACCCCCTTGCGTGGCGTGATATGCATTGATTTTGTTTTTGGGTTTTGCTGCAGTCTGTTTCGTAAGCCCAGTATGCGTCAACGCTGCCTCTAGCGAGCGACATCGAGTTTCGAGAAATTCCTGCAAAATATTAAGATCTACCTCTTGTTGTTCTCCAAGTGAAAGTTCCCATTGTCGTCTTGTTTCGTTTGCTAGCCTATGCACAATTACGTGTATAAGCCATTCATCCCAATGTTGAACCGGTAGCGCCAAAGCTTTCAATGCACGAACATTTTGCATGATGGGGTCTAGTACACCTTTGATTGCAGTAGGAGTGTCGCTGTTTGCCTTTTGCACCGAAAAAATAGCACGGAAATGATGATCTTTAATAACACGCGGAATATTGTACCGTGTTGTTAATAAATTCCAGGCTTCGCTGAAATTTGCATCTTGAAGTTTGAAATTTGAGATTAGTTGCAGCGGCTCTTTAGACAAGCAGCAGCGTAAATAGTGCAATTTTTGACTTCCAGTCAGCGTTTCGTGTTTTAGTACGATGGCACTGAAACTGTCGAAAAATGTGAGCCATGTTGTCGGATCTCCTTCAAAATGAGGTAAATTAAATGCTGGAAGCTTGATGTTTGGAATGACAGATGTGCTGCGTGAAACTTCGCCTACAGTTGTTGTGTTAAGAGAAGATTGTGCTTCGAGCATTGCTTTGAAATTTGACATTGCGGATGCATACCATTGTTCGCCCTGTTCTCTTTCGTACTGTTCTGCTTCTATGGCGTTCGCTCCGCATGACTCTTCCACAATTTCTTGAGCAATATTAAACCGGCCCCATTGTTCACGTAAAAGCTCTATGTATACTTCCAGCTGCCGTTTGGAGTATTTTCCGCTTTCAGCTTTACTGAGTTCAAGAGAGCGTTTAATTGCATTTCGTGCTGAGTCTCTTTTGTTCACAGACATTTCAATTCACTTCAAAAACGGTATACCAAAGAAATGAATATGACCTTAAAATGACCGTTTCCCTGACGTGCTCTTTTGCCTTACTGGCTGTAGCTTTCAATGTAAGTAGTTTATTCACATACACTTTCACGGCAGCGAATGCAGGTGCACTTCTAGTTTTATTGTTTTTGTAGTCTTTATTTAGTTAATTGCGTATTCACTTTAGTATTTGCGATTCAATTAGTTTTATGTTTGCGTTAATAACCGAGATCCGGTCTGAAGGACCAACTGTTGCGGCAGTAGCGGAGTAAAATAAAACGACGCGTGCTTAATGTTTGCTGGTTCATTTATTACTGAACTCATAGACACCTTAACTAAAATGACAAAGCTGAGAGAGTGGATGTGTATTGCGAATATACGTGAGAGGCGCGAACATATACATTTCTAGTCGTTATTGTTTTTATACTGGCACAAAGTGCTGGCTCATAACTTGGATCATATATGACTCCTAAAAGATTCATATAAGAGTAAAAAAATGTTTGTTTTTGAAACTCATATTTCTTACCTACCTAGGACTCCTTTCCGACTCATATATTCTGAGCGCTCAGAATATGTTTGCGGGGTCGTATGAAAATTCATAATATATGTATATGTATATGTATATGTATGAAGAAATAAAAAATTTCTAAGCATTGCCGTAGAAGTTTTAAATTTAATGGTAGTTTGTAAGATTAGAAACTTATTGTTAGTTTCGAAAGAAAGATTAATAAATAAATACATATTATCAAAAAAAAATTGTTGTGGCGTATTTATATACATATATAAGAATAAACAACAGAGAAAGAATCAGCCAAACAGGCGCACTTTCAACTGCAGAAAATGCAAAAACTTAAGATTTCGAGGATCCAGGACTTTGCAGCGGATCTGTTGGAAATAAAATTTAAAGAATATTTTTGACAGCTGAAGCCTGTACTCAGCATCCTATGAAAAAAAAATAAAGTGGAAGCAACAAAACACAAAAGCTAGACGAAAATAACAGAAGGTCGTTGCAAGATCAGCTTCTTATTGTCGTGATAGTGACCGTCCGTCTGTGCACACGATAACTCGAGAAAAAATTGAGATATCTTAACGAAACTTGGTACATGTGCTTCTTTTGAGAGCAGGACGGACGGTATTAAAAATGGACAAAATCGGACAATAACCACTCGTACCTCCCATATAACGGTAATTTTCAGAAATACGGAAACTGCGATATTTTGGTAAGCTTATTCACTCAGAATTTATATTTGCAATGATATTTAGGCGTATTAAGAATATTTTTGGAAAATGGGCGTTGCTCCGGCCACTTAGATTACATGTATGTACATATATACCTCGGTAACCACTTCACTAATTCTTTTCAAACTTGGCACATTTGTTGGTCGTGGTAAAAAACTCGAAAGGCCCAAAATTTTTAAAGTCGGACAACAATCATGCCCACATCCCATATAACGGTAATTTAGATAAATATGAAATCTTCGATAAATCAGTAACTACTGAAGCAGATTTATATAGAACTAGCCAATGCCCGCTTGCTTCGCGGCGACTAATAAGATCTTTTGCGTTGGCCAATACAAAAAAGTTTTAAAAGCAAAAGCGGTCTGTAAAGTAAACATTTTTAGTTTAATTTGAAACGAATAAAGAGCAGAATCCTCCTCACACATAGGCCAAGAATAGTAGCGCTGTGATACCATAAGGAATACTAATCCCTTTCGATGTCATGAGTATGAGTATAAGTATAAGAAAACTAAAGAGCACAGATGAGGGCCAAGAATGCTCGCCAAATAAGATTTTTATAAATAACTCGATTCCTGTACCATCTAGCGGGTCTATTTTTCGCACACGTATTTCTCAAGTAGCATACGTTTTGAATTTGAACGAAATCGGTTCATAGATACGACTTTTATAAATAACTCGACCCCAGCGCCACCTAGCGATTTTTCTGGTAGCCTATAATAGGACCATGCAAGGTATAACCTCTGAAAAGTTGACTGAAATCTATGCTGTAGATTTTGAGTTAACTCCGAACAACGAAAACGGCTATTATTTTTTATATATAGATTGATGTTTGCAATAATTCTTGAGCAAGAAATACGGTCATAAGATATTCTTGGAAAATGGGCGTGGCACAGCCCCTCATGACCATATACATATGTGTAACTCGGTTACTGTTCTACCAATTTGTACCAAACTCGTTATAGTTATTGTACTTAACACATAAAGGCAAGACGCTGGAATATATTTCATGCGTGCGCCGGGTTTTGAACATAGACCTTTTTTATCTTTGTTTTATTACATATTTTTAATTGTTTGGATATATAGATCGACATTTTCTATCGAAAATAGAAGATAACGAAGAGAAATATGA